GTACTGCTAAAATAATTAATAGTAGCAAGCCTATTAGTCGGGAGTACAAAATCAAAATCCATAACACCTAGATGATATTAGACTTGTTCACACCATTCAGAAAAATTAAGCTTATTGAACTTTATAATAGAAGAAGCTTGTGAATCAAAAGAAATATGAGCGCATGTAGCAAATATATAAAATGCTCATAAGTTAATGCTTTAACTTGTAACTTAAACACATAATATAGATTCAAATAACATTCATATAATCATTAAATGTACATTGAATTTCTTGGATGATCGAACAATGTATAACAATAAAAATAATTGATGCTTAATTTTGATTTCACATTATTGGAAATTATACATACTCTAATTAGACATACTTGCTATCTTTGAATATGCAAAAATATCTAATGAATTATATTAGTCAATCACGATCATGTTCATCATTATAAAATTAATCAATCTACTTTTGGATGATCTTTAAACACTTTATAATCAATAAATTTCAATTTGCTCATAAATAAGGAATATATATCATTATGTCATCTCATTTATAACATTGCATAATCATGAGTAATTGAATTTTATTTAATTTGAAATTTATAAAGTCTTTTTAATTTGACCACGTTGGTGACTAACAAATTATACATATTATAGATATCAAAATAAATAATTAGAATAATTATTTCAATAATAATAATACAGAATGATAAATTAAAAATGCATATATTGAAAGTGTTAATATTTTGAGTAAACCAAATATCTAGAAACTATCATATATAAATTTCACATAATTATCGTATCTCGCATACACAATACAATATTTATATTATAACAAGTAGATAAATATAAAACAGTTAAACATTCATTTTATTTAATGGCTTTCTTGATTATAAAGTATGTAATGTTAAATTGTATTATTAATATTAATAAAAAGTTACAAAGATACAAACCTTAATGACTTATAAGAAAATCCAAATTAAACTTTTAAAACCTAATTAGTTTTTAACAAAACAAATAAACAAATGGTCAATTTAATTAAAAACATCCTAAAAACTAAGTTTGATTCATTTATTTATATTTATCATGCCAGATATTGTTTTTTTCTTTTATTTATGGTAAGTTTTAAATACCCATATGCATTTTTTCTTATCAATAAATTTTATTATTATTATTATTATTTATGAGATTTCAAAATTGAGAAACCCATGATAAAATTTTCATGTAGCATGCCATTATTAGCTTGAAGAAAATATTGAAACTCTTAACTTTCAACATAATATAAAATAAAATTAAAGATAAGTAATAATATGAAAATCAATCATAAAAGTAATAATAAATATATATAGTAATATTTAAAGGAACATCACAAGTTTTTTATCTAAAAACTCTGATACTACATACTAAAATTTTTTTTATGCAAATTGAATTTTAACTTTGCATAATCTTAATATCCAAGGTCTTAAAACAAAATTTTTACAATTTTTTAATTGAAGAGAAAGCATAACTTGATTCATAATAAATTATATATAAATATTTTATGAAATTTTGTTTCTTTCTCATGACCACTTTTATCTTCACAAACATTCTCAATGGATAGACCGCGAGCAATTTATGGGTAGAGAGAGTGAAGCAACTTTTCTTTCTTTCTTTCTTAATGGCATTCAATTCATATATTCCATCAATATATGCATTATAAATATATATTTTTTGTTTTAATTACATTCATTCATTGTTTCATAAATAAAAACAAACTTTCTTTATCTTTATTGATCAAAAGAATTTTTAGCATATAATAATTATTAAACTATGAATATTTTTTAAATAAATAAAATATATTTATTTAAGTCAGATAATGGGCATATAAATTACATAATATCTAACAAACTAAACAACAAAAAAGAGTAATCATAAATTAACTAAAGCAATAGATAATAACAGTAATAATAAATTCAAAGATATTTATTTTAAAGTATCATTTTTTTTAATTTTTTTGTGAAAGCAAATTTTTTATTTAAATAAATTTTATTATGAAAATATTTTTATATATGTATGCTAACGTTAAAATAATTATATATTTGTATATGTATGTTAACATTAAAATAAATATGTATTTGTTAATTATAAAAATTAAATACATTAAAAATAATTATTGATAAACTACATGGTCTAAATGTATATTGGCAAGTGTAATTGATAATTTGATATCATTTTATTTTTTGAATGTTTATATTTTGACTTAGCATATATTGATTTAATAATTTCATTTTCATAATTTTTATTATTCTCGATATTTTAAAATAATTTAGTCTATGGTATTTTTATTATTCATTACTTTTTAAAATAAGTTTATAAATTTAATTCATACATAAACATTAAACATTAAATAAGGAAAATAAAAAATACAAAAACTAGGTAAGTATCTTAACTAGAATTGGGTTTAATCAATTTGATGATTCCAGTCCAACAAGCCTCCTTTCCTTTGTTTTCCATTTTTTCTACTAACTTACCCGACCAATTAAAATCCAGTGGTTTAAAAACCCACAATATATACTTGAAAAAATCTTAACCTTACCTCATTACCTCTTCATTTTACCTCTAGCTGCTCCTCATTCTCTCTACAAAAAACTTTAACCACCTTTCTCTGATTTTTTTAATTTTCACTGTTCTAGTCGTTAGATCCTAATGAAGAAGGCATCATTTTCTTGCTTTCTCTATCTTTAAAGCTTTCACCTAGTATTTTTCCTTAAACCTCTCTTTCATTTTTTTGAAAGCCCTCTACAATCACTTTTCTGCCATCCTAGCAGTAAAAATTTCTAAATTTTTTCGTGCAGTTCAATTTTTCTTTCTTGTGTTATGATTTATGATAGGTTGAGAAACATGATTTTTTTTTTTAAAGCCTGGAATGATAATAAAAATTCCAATTTTACATTTTTTTGGTAGTGTTCTTATTGTTTTTTAAAACATGATCGAATTAAAAAAAATTCATATTTTTAGGAAATAGTTCTAATATATGTTAATGATGTTTTATATTTAAAAAAACATAGAATGGTTAATAATTAATACCTTATTCTTTTTGTCTTAAAAAACTTTAAATGGTATTGATAACTTCATCTCTACAAGCTCAACAGGACTTTGGTTTTAATTCTTTGTTAATTGTATTTTGTTTTTACTGTTTGATATACTTTTCCTTATTGTTAAGTTTTTAGGATCTAACCAAGTATGTTTTAGTTTAGTAATAAGAAGAAAATCTTATAATTTTGATGTCTTTGACTCAAGTTTCATCCAAAGTAAATTTTAGGGATGGTAATTGGGTCAAGGTGGGATGAATTTTTGCTTGAATCTGATCCAACTTTCTATCTTAACTCATCTTGTCTATTTTGGTGGAATTAATTTAATTTTATATTGAATTTATCCAATCATATGATGATTTGGTGATTGATTTATTTATTTGATTTAATTCATTAATTTTGTATATAAATTTAATATTTAATTATGTTTATATATTTTTTGCTTGTAAATTCATAAAAAAAATCCTAAGATCTACCGTTAATAATGAAATTTCACACATATGAACGGCAATAATAAATGTATTATATAGTACAAGATAAAAAGGATCTCAAAGAGTAATAACGGTAAGCTAAGCAAATTTTTTTCCCTTTTCTTTTTTTTTTTTTCTGGATTGACAAGCAGACATATATATTTTTTCAATCACGTGTACGAAAGGGAACAGCTACCTTCAAAAAAATAATAATAATAAATGTAGAACAAATTATTTGCCTACTTTCAAAAGAAAAAAAAAGTGGAACACCATGTTTTGAAGTGTTAAGTATAGATCAACTCAAACCCCAGTACAACAGGATTACTCATTTTAGATTTTCATATAAAAAAATTATAACATGTATTTATAACCATCAATGCTATCATTTAATTATTTGGTTTCCATATCTTAAATGATTAAATTATTCACATGCAAGTCCCTTTTCATTTCTAAGTGAGAGGATTTTAGTTGATTTTTTAAATTTTAACTGAAAATTTCTTCAAGAGTAAATAAACTAGTTACACTTCATTTGTTTAGGAGTAAACAAATTATTAGTTACATTAGTTTCAATTGAATGGTGAATACTTTTCCTTTTTCTTGTTTTTGGATCAAATCCAAATATGCATGTCTAATTGATCAAGATTATAGGGAAGAACAAGGGCAGCAAAACAGAGTAAGGCTATTTGTCTCTATATTTTTATAAAATTTAATTGGATAATTTAAGGATTAAATCTATGATAAAGTAGGTAAACTTCTTCATAAATACAATGTTAACTTTTTCTTATTTGAAAAGCAAAAATTCAAATTCAGTGCAAAAATCATATAACAATCATTGAATCAAACACTCAAATATAAATATAATGCTTAAAATTAAACAATAATGTTTCAACCACTATGATAAACATAAGTAAAAGATGTTCAATTCAAAGGAAGCAATGTTAAGGTTATTGTTTTCCTTTTTTATTTTTTTCCCTTTATGTAACTATATATACTGATACATAGAGGCAAAAGAAAGTTGAACTTGAGATCCTTTGGGGCATGTAATTTTATGTTTTTCTTCTCCCAACAAACCATTCTTTTTGCATGACAACAAGAATTGTGATTTTTCTCTCTTTTGGGTAATGAAATGGAGTTCAAGTTTAACATTACTCATACTTCCACCTTCCATTCAAATGCAACAATCTGCAATTGTGGTCCAACAAGGATAATAAGGCCATTTTATTTGTGGGGTATTTATATTCAGAAAAATCCTAGCTTTCTTCTAAAACAAGGACTCATCTCGACTAGGGTTACCCCAATAAATGAGTTTGACAATTCTACCATTTAAATTAAGGCTCCTTTTGTAATAATAAACAAAAATAAATACCATAGCTGTCAGCAATATTAGATCAATAAAACACACTAAATCTGAGGGACAAATTTCTGGCCTCTGTTACTTCCCATTGGCTGAGCCTATTAATTGACCCTTTTTTTTTTTTTTCTATTTTAAAATTTGATTAATCTCTCCCTTCACTCACTTTCATCAACAGCACTGCCTCCATCAGCCCTCATACACATGCCAAGAGAGAGGTGCAGAGAAAAAAAAAAAAAAAAAAAACAAACAAACAAAAAGCAAAAGTGAATAGAAAGTGGAGAGAAGAGAGGTAGGGATGGTGATTATATTTTTGTTCTTGTTCTGTTTTTTGTGCTTCTAATCCAGGATATTCGTTTCATTGAGTGGCTCACTTTTTTTTTTCTTACTAATGTTTTCTTCTTCAGCTAAGTGCCCTGGTTTCAAGAATAGAAAATTGGGTTTCTTTCGGATTTGATTATAAGGGTTGTTTGTGGTGAACTGTGGCGCAATCTCTTTTTTTTTTTTTTGTTTCCCTCTGTTTTCCTCTGCTTTTGGAGCTACTTTGATAGTAGAGCAGTGATAGTACTTGAGTTTCAAGCCAACCAAAATTTTTGGGATTCAACTTTGAGGTTCTTAAGATAGATCCACATAAAAGTAGCTGATTTTTCTGGGTGATCACTTTGTTAGATTAGATGAAGCTTTCCATGAAAAAACTTCATAGAGCTACTTTCTTGGGAAACAAACAGAAGCTTTGGTTCTGTATTGCTTAGGGGTGGTCCTTCTAGGCTTTTGGTATTCAGTCTTGATCTGATCAAAAACCCTGTCCAGAAAAGTTTCTGAATTGGGGTTTTTGAGTCCTTCGAGTCTGGAGTATTTTTGAAAGATAATTGAAAAGGTAAATGGAGTCAGATCATCAACACCACTATCGCCATCTTCTGGATTATCATCAACCCCAACACCATCAAAAACAGATGAACTCTGGCTTGATGAGGTACCAGTCTGCACCTAGTTCGTATTTTTCAAACATCTTGGACAGAGATTTCTGCCGAGAGTTTCTAAATCGACCATCAAGTCCAGAAACAGAACAAATTATCGCCGATTTTATCTAGTGGAGATGCTGGTGGCGATGGCGGTAATACAGAGAACATTTCAGACCAAAATCTTTATACGCGGAATTCACCTATTAGAGAAACAGCTGTAAAAATTGAGCAGCAAACGCAGATTATTACATCAATGAATAATCAAACAGGGGTTATGCAGCAACAACAACAGCAGCAGGGAAAATATTCATCTGCTTCACAGAATTTTTATCAAAGCCAAACTCAACAGCATTTACCAAATGAGCAATCAAGTTCAACTATGGATTATAGGATTCCAAATTCAACGGGGATGGCGCGACCAACACAAATCAAGATGGGCGGTGGCAATAATAACAATCTTATCCGACACAGTAGCTCACCTGCAGGGTTGTTCTCTAACAAAAAACATTGAAAATAGTAAGTGATTTTTACTTGCATGTACATTCTTGATCAAGCTTTTCCTTTTCGGTTTCCAGCGTAACGGCGAGACAACGCAAAAGGAATATGTTTCATGGTAGTACATACAGCCTACAGGGGGTTCCTTTCAGGATATTATGTCTTTTCTTTCTCTCTGTTGTCTTCCAATGACTACTGAAATTTCATTTAAAAATGAGAAAGAATCAGTGAAAAAGTTTCTTTTAATGGCATGAGCTCATAATCGACGCTTTTGTGAGTAAAATGATACAGTTTTTAATCAAATTGACCGAGCTTGTACTAGACCAATCAAATTAAGCAGCTAGGAGTCAACCAGTGCGAAAAATTTAATATATTCAATCACCATTTTCTTTACTCTTTTTGGGTTTCTTTTTTTTTTTTGCCAAGAGCCTTCAAATTTTAGGGAGATGTTTTTTTACTTTAAAAAGCTGAGAATGACACTGAAATCTTATAAAGTTGCAGGCTATGGTGTGATGAGAGGAATGGGAGAATATGGAAGCTCTAACATCAGTAACAGAGAAGCAGTATTTGCTTCCGCAAGCAGGCCACCTCCTTCTGGGTTGATGAGTCCTATTGCCGAGATGGAAAACAAAAACATGGGTCCAAATAGCTCAGAAAATGCTGGATTTGGTGAAAGTCGTCACAACAATTATTCCTCAGGGTTTCCCGTTACTTGTTGGGACGATTCAATGATAATTTCTGATAACATGTCAGACGTAAAAAGAATCAGAGAAGATGACAGATCACTTTCTGGCTTAGACTTAGACGGAGCAGAAACTCAGGTAGTACACATTTAATACAGTGTGAAATTTCTTATATCCCTAATATTCTGATCTGATGGTCATTTTTTTTTCTTATCAAACTCTAACAGAACACAGATACCGGAAACCGTCCACCGCCACTTTTGGCTCATCACTTGAGTTTACCAAAGAGTCCACCTGATATGTATGCCATTGAGAAGTTCTTGCAGAATAAGGATTCTGTACTTTGTAAGATTCGGGCCAAGAGAGGTTGTGCCACTCACCCTAGAAGCATTGCTGAGAGGGTAATGTTGCATCTTAGACCCTTGTGTTTTCTTTTTCTTTGCCCATTAATTACATTTGTTTAGACCAGCAACCGAACACAATGGTGATATCCTTTCAGGTGAGAAGAACCAAAATAAGCGAGCGCATGAGGAAACTGCAAGACCTTGTTCCAAACATGGATAAGGTACAAATTCTTGATTCAGGAACAGGGTTTGCTTCCTGGTTTATGAAATTTGTGGAAACCTCATGTTTTCTTTCCATGTTTGCAGCAAACAAACACTGCCGACATGCTAGATTTGGCTGTTGATTATATCAAAGACCTCCAAAAACAGGCCAAGGTATGTTGCAATGACCCCCTGAATGAAAACCAACCAACCCAAAAATCTAGTTCTTTTGTTGTAATCTAAAACCCTTTTTCCCTTTTGATTCGATTATTTTGTTTCACTTTCCATGTTTCAATATTTTCAGACACTCTCGGATAATCGGGCAAAGTGTTCGTGTGCTGACAAGCAGCAGCAATAAAAATGTTTGTTTGTTGTGACTTCATTATTGTTACCTATAGCAATCAGAACCTTTAGAATTTGCAAAAAGCAGATATGAAAGCTAGCAAAGCACGATGTTCTTTTGCACTCGGAAAAAAAAAAAAAAAAAACGAGGTATTTATTATCTGGGTTTGAATTCTGTAAAATCCAAGCCCATTGATATGCTATAATAGAAACCGATCCAGCTTTATAGTAACAAGTGATTTTTATGTTGTAATAATTAGGGTTTTAAATATAAAAATAATTTATATTATATATTTTTTGTCAGTTTAATATTTAAAAATATAAAATTATCAATTTGATATTTGAACTCTCGATATGTCATTTATTTTGGTATTTCGAACTAATATCATTAGTCAATTTATCAACATGATATGAACAATTAATAAGATATTGATACGTGTTAAAAAATTTAATCATCTTAATGTCATCAATTGTTATAGGAGCATTAATAGAAAATTTCAAAAAATTTTTTAAAGAATTCAAATAAAATTGTAAAAGAATATTTAAAAATTTTCAAAAATCTGAACTATTTAAAAAATTATAAGAAAAATAAAAAAATAACATATTATTAAAAATTTTAAAAATTTTAAAAATTATTGAAACTTAAAAAGTTCAAAAAATCTCAAAATTTTAATATAAAATCCTAAAAAATTCTAAACAAATTAAAAAAAATTAATAAGTTAAAATTCAAAAAAATTTAAAAAAACTTAAAATTTTGAAAATTAAAAAATCGAATTTTTTTTGTAAAAAATCTAAAAATTTATAAAAAAATTCTTAAAAATTTTAAAAGATTTTGAAAAATTAAACAATTTCAAAATTATAAAATATACTAAAAAATTTATTAAAAATTCTGAAAAATAAAAAATTAGAAAAATAAAATATTTAATAAAAATCCAAAAAAATTCAAAAGACTCATAAAATATATAAAAATTAAAATTGTAACATTAAAAAAAAAATGAAAAGTTTTTCATAAATTTAAATTTTTTTACAATATTCTGACTTTTTTAGATTTTTTCAAAAAATTTTATATTTTTATTGTTTTCAAAATTTTGTAAATTTTGATGATTTTTTTTTTTTTGGATTTTAAGAAAATTTTATTTTTACTAAAAATTTTTTAAAATTTTTTTGAATCTTTTTGGAACATTTATTAAAGTTTCGAAATTTTTTGAAATTTAAAGTTTTCATATATTTTTAAAATTTTTTTAAATATTTTAGTTTTATAATTTTTTAAATATTTCATATTTTAAAAAATTTTCTAAAATTTTTGTGAATTTGTTAAAATATTTTTTAATTTTTGTAAATCTTTTAAAAATTTTTTTTTAATATTAATGTGACAATTGATAATATGACGTTAATTAAATTTTTTTACACATATTAATATCTTATTAGATATTTATGATAAGTTAACAAGTTGACTGACGGTATTAGTTTCAAGTATTAAAGTAAATAATGGAATGAAAATTGAAGTACCAATCAAAATATTTTAGTTTTTTATGCATTAAATTGACAAAAATTATATAATGTAAGGATATTTTTATATTTAACCCTAATAATTTTTTTATATTTTAAAATATTTTAGTTTTATAATTTTTAAAACATTTCATATTTTAAAAAAAATTTCTAAATATTTTGTGAATTTTTTAGAATTTTAAAAAAATTTTGTGAATCAATTAAAAAATTTTATTAATATTGACGTGACAATTGACAGTGTGACATTGATTAAATTTTTTTATATGTCAATATCTTATTAAATATTTATACCATGTTAATAAATTAATTGTCGGTGTTAATCTCAAGTACTAAAGTAAATGATAGAATAAAAGTTGAAGTATCAATTTAAAAAATTTATTTTTTTATATATTAAATTGATAAAAATTATATAATGTAAGGATACTTTTATATTTTTATATTTAACCCTAATAATTATGTAAGATTTTTATATATAACAAGCTGATGTAGTCATTTGCCGTGAGCTTATTTTCACACATGTTTGAATTTCTAATGCAAATGTCAAATTACATCATGTAAGTAGATAAATAGGAAAAAATATTAGGGAAAATAGGATTGTCTCCTCTGCCTAACTTGTTTTTTTATGAGATGTTTTAAATACATTTTCATTTTTCCTCTTTACATTTGATTTTTTTTTTCAAAATTTTTTAAGAAAAGTATTTATTTACCCTTTTTATCTTAATTTTAAAACTTTCAAATATGTATTTTCAATAAATTATATAATTTATCATTAAATTAAAAAAATTATATTTAAGTTTGAAAAAAATAATTAAAAGAAAATACCTTACAAATTTTTTTTAAAATTTCGAATATGCAAATTTGAAAATTCTTAAAAACCTTTAGATTTACAAATTTCAAAGGTTAAAAGTGATAAGGGAGGCATGAGAAAAAAAGTAATTAAGTAATTTTATTTAAAAATAATTTAAAAAAAGTGTGAAAAGAAAATAAGGAGTGTATTTAAAATAATCTTTTTTTTAAATAATATATTGATAAAATGTAAAATTTTTAATTTTAATTATCAAAATTTAACTATTGATAACTTTAAATATATAAAAAATCGCTATTTGTTGCTTGTCAAAAAGATCTTGAATTTTATTTTTTTATAAAAATCATAGTTTACAAATACAAGAAAAAATTATTTAAGTATTAAAATTTAAAATTTAAATATTATTTTTTAAAATAATTACATAAATTAATTAAATTAAAATTTCTAACTCCTTTTGAACTTGCGAACAAGAAAAGTAAGATGTTGCGGCGATTGCTCCTCCGCCACACACTTTTCTATCATGATGATTAAAACTGTTTGAAGAAAAGTAAGACGAGGGAAAACACACGAGGGTGGGGCTACCATTTCCCTGGTTGACATAAACGGATGGAAGAATTAGTGACGGAAATTAGGTGTTATCGCTTATGTATTCAATTTAGTCTCGTAGTACTAGTTACGTGGACGTTTTGGTTTCTCACATTAATGCCAGAAAACGCCTTGTTTGCTTCTTTTTCTTTTTTTCTTTTTTTTTTTTTCTATCTTTGGACTTGGTTTTCGGCCTTTTTAGTTTTCTATTTTTGGGCAAGTCAAGGCCAACCATTTCCAAGTGTCGATGGATGGAATTAAATTGTGTGTTTAAATTGTAAAAAATAATAATAATAATAACAACTCAATTAATTTCCTTTTTTTTTTCTCCTTTCTCATGATACCTAAATTGGATCATTATCTGTGTCCAAGCCATAATGAGTTCCTTTTCTGGAGGTGAAATTTTTTTTGTCCTCTTTCATATGTACAAAATTTCCCAACACATTTGAATTATCCAATTATGTTAGATTTAGTCAATTATTTATTATTTTTCATTTTTTCATTTTTTATATAATATGTAATTCTTAAATCGATTGATTGTGATTGTGATTGTAATTTTTATTTATATATTTAAATTCATAAAAAATCTACTAAAAGGCAAAAATTTTAGCAATGTCCTAAATGACGATCATTTGACTTTTAGAAACTAATTTTCTTTTTTATTTACTTTTGTACATGTGATCCCGTCATCTGGCACCACTCAATAGACGTGGTAACTTTTTTTTTTTTTTGTTTTATAAATTCACCTCTCAAATTTTAAATTCAAATTCAAAATTTCTAAAATTAAATTATCATTAAGTTCGAACATTTATATCTAACTAGCACATATACTTGTCTCCAGTCCACCCTCAAAGTGTTACGTCACCTCCTTAATCGTAAATGAAACGGTGTGTTTTGTATTTCTTCACGACATTTAGCATGCACAAAAATCATATCAAATTTCATAAAAATCCAATATTATGAAATCCAATTTCAAAAAATTTATGCTATTTATATCGCTTTCAATACTAAAAACGAAAAAAGAAAAATAAGAGGATGCGAGTGATTCCAGTGATTTTTGACAAAATTTCAAAAGTTAAACTAGAAAACCTAAACTTATTGAAAGGCTAAACTGAACAAAAAAAAAGGTGTTACTCCATAAAGTCGAATTCGTTGCTCTACCAATCAAATCGCAGTAATATATCCAAATCCAAACAAACCAAAATGAAATTTATCAAACAATGGAATCAGTACAGAACATAAAGGAGACATGGATCAGGAAGCTAAGAGCCAAGAACATCAAGGCCTCATGAGGTCGGCTTCAGTGGTAGATGAAGAGGTGGCAATCGGCCCCATGAAAGACCTGCGACAGGGAGCAAGGCAAGAAACTCCAGCAAGATTACGAGACATTGTTCCAAGAAAACTAATAATGATCTGAAATTTCAATCTTCTAATTTCTTTAAACATCTAAAAATTTGAACGGTAAAAAAAATTAAAAGAAAGCAAAAAAAGGTGTAAGAACAAAAACCCTTTGCAATGAAATAAGGATCGGAAGAGAGATCTGTCTAGTTTCACTTCATTGTTAAGAAAATAGCTTTTCTTTCTCTGGATTTGTTTTAGACAAATAGAAGAGAGAGGAACCGTAAAGAAAAGATAAAGAAGTAATTATTTTCTAATTATTTATTAGTTTTTTAATAATGATTGATTGGACATATAAAAGACAAGTCATACAAAGGAGGAGGAAGGGGGTCTAGAAAGAAAGTAGGTGAAAAATGGTAATTTTTTAAAAGAGAAAAAAATTAAAAATGAATTTTTTAATTTTAAATTATTTATTTTTTTTTGAAAGTTTGGGTTTTTTAATAAAATATATCCACGTATTCCACAATTATATTATTAAATATTATTATACTTTATTTATAATATTTTTTATTATTTATAATTTTTAAAAATTACTAGTATTCCAAGATTTGACATTAAATAAATTTCACTCCACAACCTTTGTTTTGCTTTTGCGTTTTTCTTCCGATTCTAAATCTTGATATAGTATAAAGGTTCAATTAATAAATTTCATTTAATGTCAAAATAATATCGTAAAAAGTTGAAGTGAAAGTTGAAAGTATTTTGCATACATAAATAATTATTGTGAGAGGCAGTGGAGTAGAGATGCAACCAACTTGTTAGAAAAAAGACCATCCAAATTGTCAAAATGTTAATGAAAATAAAAGAAAAGCAACAATAATAACTGGTGGATTACATACATGCTGACGTGATTATGTCTCATCCATTATTATGATTTTTTTTTTAATCTCATCTTTAAAATTTTTATTGGATTAAAAATTTCTTACATATAATTTTATCTTTAGGTTTTTGCTTGTACG